CGTCTCGTGGACGCTCAGAATCCCTCACACTACTGGCAAGGCTCAATTGGAAGGCATTACATAACTACGGCCATCCACGCTACAACAGCTCTAAACAAACAAGATGCGATGCATGTGTAGAGTCAGGAGAGCACTTGACTCGTGACTTTGCCCTTCCGAGCTGCTCTAGTTGCAGGGAAAACAACCTCAAATTCCATTACACCAACAAAAGCATAAGAAAGAGCACAAGGAAGGAGTAAGAGTCTAAATCTAAAAAAAAAGACAGGCTATAAGCCCACCTAAAGGCTCTCCGGTAAAGAATCAAGGAAGAGAGTCTGCCAACAATGACCGGGAGACCGAACCTTCTATGAACGAGCCATATTCGAATTTGATCTCTAACGAGGCCACTTCTCCCTCCTTAGTCCACAGACTATGCAAGTGATGGAGAGTCCATGTTACGGCGTTAATAGAACACGAAATTAAAGATATCTGTCTCACCCCTCTTATTTCATCCAACTTGTTCACTCTCTTGCTCTTAGGAATATTCCCTAGCGGGGAGAAGCGTAGCTAGATATATACCTGCAAAATTTAGCCCAAGAAATTGCATTCCGGATAAACATCAGATGTTCGTAGCCAATTAGATGGCAGAGAAAGATTGTCAGGGGCCCGTGCATGACAAGCTACCCGGTGAAAGGGGGTCCGCGGGGGAACCCCCCGTGAGCATTCACTACTCGATCGACTGCTTAATCCACTGCTCCTTGACTGCTCAGTCGACTGCTCAATTCACTACTTAATCGACTACTCAATTGACTGCTCGATCAACTACTCAATCGACTGTTAGGTTGGGCGCTCCCTCCGCTAAGGGCCTCATTGTCGAGAGCTTGGGTCCGACACTCGACGATCGAAATATCCTGGTATCTTGTCTGCGTTTTCTTCTTGTTGTCTTGATCCATAGAACACTTTCTGGCGGGTTGCAAAAAAGTGACAGGACGGCTTTGATGCAGGTGGGGGGCCTAATGAAGACCTGAGCAACAACTTCAGACGTTGCTGTGAGAAAGGTGGAGAAGGCAGGTCCTGGTGGCAGAAAGGGTAGCGTAGACATCTGACAAAAGCGGTCACCGTCGCCATTGGCACCACAGCCTTCCATAGCCGCGATTTTAATGACGGGCAGTTGTTGAAGAGATGTCTTGCTCTTCGCTTCTCCGTCACTCAGTGAGCGAGGCGTACGGTAACTGTAGCAGTTTATGGAAGATTACATGCGCGGCACAGCATCGCCACCGACATCGCTCATCCATGTGATACCAGAGTAGAGCGAGTGTCGCAGCAGTATAATGACTCCGTGGGTTGTCAGGACAACAATGGTGTACCAGCGGTCGGGATTGACAAAGATGGTGCGGATGTCAGGTGGCTCGGTGGGATGATTCGCGCGTGGCTCAGCCCCTGACGAACCACGGGACGGGCCGAGCCGAACCGTAGAGCCAGGATTTACCCCAACAGTCCCTCTACGCTTTCCCTCCGAATGGCCCGGAAACCGCTCCTGCTGATTGAGTCATTGCTAGTAGCAGCAAGATTGTGGTTGTACGTGTCGTCGAGAGCCTGGTATGTACAGCCGCAAAGCGACGAGACCTGCGTTGTCGTTTCGGTGTGGCAAGAGGTGCGACTTGATAGTTCCAGTGTGGCTGACAGATGTGTAGAGGGAAGGCGCGAGAGGGAGCGCTTTCTAGGGAGTGATATGAAGGGGAACTTGACAGAACCTGATCCCCTTCCCTGTCGACTTTTCCCCTCGCAGCAATGAAACATGTTTTGCACCAGTGTGGTGCAACTTTTCCTGTCCTCTGGATCATAAATTCGGTACCAAGTCTCCAGCTTCAGCATGGAGAAACCACATCGAAGTTTAGGCGCGGATATTATGAGAGCATTTGCAGTGTTGCGGTGGCTATCCAAATTTGGTTCGGGTCTAATATCCAGCGCCGAAACTCGAGCGTTGCTCAACCAAGTCCTGAACCAACGGCATCCGAACATCATAACGGATTCTGCACAGAGCCCACTGTGATGTATCTGTTGACCATATGGTCAAATCTCGATGGGGATGAGTATTGTGATATTCGGACAAGAAGTCGACTCGCTTCTTCGCCGAATCTCGACCAAGACGTTGATATCCTACCCCTGAACTATGGACCGTTGCCGTCCTATTTGTCTTTGGATAATGTCCTGACCAAAGGATTGTTGAGGTTCGCGTCGTGCCCTGTGGAAGAGTCAGTTTCCTGCTGTGAACTGTACCATGGTTGAGAACGTCAGAAAGAGCAATTTCACTGTCGCCCGCATAAACGAACCACAGACCGAAACAACCAGAGTTCTGCCCGATGACTGTATTTTTTGCCCCCAGACCCCCCAGATGGCCTTTAAAAAGCGAGACCCTTCCCCTCTGAGAAACTCATCGTCCATCTTCTCTGCCATCCACACACTCGAAGTCAACAAGTCCACACAAGCCACACCACAACTCAACACCACACCACCACTTCGAGCATCAAGTCAAAGCGACATCAAAACTTCAACTCTGACTACCACCTACGAAGAGAAGACTTGAACAAGTACTCCTTACACCACACACTGCCGCTCTCATCAAGCGACAGAACCCATACCAAACTCCACCTCCAACACATTTGCAGTAAGTCTGCCGTCTCCTATACCGTAAGCTTCTACTTACCATGTACGAGAATTCCACTTACAATGTACGGCAATATGGTCCGTTGGAATCTGGAGGTTGCTGCCGCCAGCCAGGAGAATGGGACCGTCCCCCCTGCGACGACAGCCGGGAACGTCGCGCGTCCTTTCTACCAGCAGTCTTCGATCGACTCCACCGAGACTGTCCACAGCGTCGGCGAACCTGTAGCTTGCACGGAGGCCGTCCAGAGCGTCGCCGAAAAGGGAACCGACCGCAACGCCAACAACCAGAACGACGGTCTACCGGCCGACCGATTGGCCGATGTCATGAACGCCGACCCCACCGTCGACGGCTTCGCACACTTCGGCGAGCAGATGGAGAGATACGAGGAGGTCCGCAGCAGACTCCCGCATTGGCCCCGGATGGCCTGCCACCTGAGCGGCATCAACCAGAATATCCGCAGGTCGAGGACAGACGACATGCCCATGCCGCACTTCATGGTGATCCTGGAACTGAACTCCAAGATATTAGAAGCCAGGATGCACCTGCAGTTCGTCAAGGACGAGTGGGAAAAGATCAAGGCGTCGCGCCCCTGCTGCCTCGACGAGCTCAACCGCATCCACGAGCCCCACGAAAATCGCGACTCCGGTCTGTACAGGCACCGCCATAGGGATTGCCACTGTATCGCCCTGCCATGGAGGGAGCTCATCCGAGCGGTCACGTTGCGCGTGGCAAACCTCGAATTGGCCGCGGAAAAGGCCATTGACGAGGCAGCACCAGTCTTCACGTTGCGGCGCTCTAAGGCCGTAAGGAGAGAGTCGAGGAACAGCACAAAGTCCGGGAGAGACACCGCTTCGAAGCCGAAGCAAACCGCCCCTAAGACCAGCCAAAAGAAACCCAAAAAGACCGAACGAAAGAAGGTCTCCTTCGACCTCTCGACCAACCTCTTTGGCCAAGAGCACCGCAAACGCCGCCAATGGGACTTCAAACGGACCAAGGTGGCCTTTTACAAACCTGGAAAGTGGGCGCCTGGCATCGCTCGGCGCATCAAGGGCGAGGTCTCCACGCCCTTCCCCTCGTGCTTTGCATCCCCAAAGGACAAGACCTGGATTTACAACGACACCTTCCTTAACACGAGCGGTTATAAAGGCTTCCAAAGGGAGTTCTTTGGCTACGACGATCCCGTCGAGTCTGCCCGTCTCGGGGCGGTGGAAAAGTCCTCGAGGGCCGAAGACGAGGAGGAGAAGCAACGACCAGCAGAGCGCCGCCCACCTGTGTTCATGGGTAAGAAGAGGGAGAGAAGGGGAAGCATCTGAGTAAAGTCGGCATGGGAGCAGTCGCAGAGTCGACATGAGGTTGCTTGCGCACCTCAACAACGGCAACCAATCGGGATGAAAACGGCGACAGGAGTTCTCCGCGTTATTTGACCACCGCAACAACTCGAAACAAGAAAGACGACAGGGAAGCAGACACGATCTGGCAAGACGCGATCAGCGCAACTCAGTAACGGCAACCACTTGGCGATGGAACGGTGGACCTCGACCAGCGCAACCGTCTCGCTGCACACAACTCTTGCGAGCGGAAGCGCGAAGAAATAGAACGCCTCACCTCCGAGCGAGACCAGTCACCAGAACCGCTCAAAAACGGGGACGAAGAAAGGTAGACAGAGTCGACCAAAGTCGATGATCTGCGTGCGTACTTTGAACACCGCAACCATCGCAATTTTTGGAACTGGACTGATAGGCGCCTCTGGGCTTTTTCCCATGCGTCCAGTCCTTGCGCCGCCCTCGTAGCGCTGTTGAGGGCGGAGGCAAACGCCACGCTTCTTATTTTGATCTGATTTTTTCATCGCTGTGCTTGCTTCATGTGGGACTGCGAAGAATATTTGGTCAGTGCTCGGAGGGGAGAGGCGGGGGTTGTTGCAAATGGCGGGTTGCGCTGGGTTTGGAAGGCGTTGGAGCTTGCTTGGGGAGTCCAGGTTGTTCGATTTCTGATGTGTGTCAGTACCTGTAGAACACCCATCTGCAACGGTAGATTACCTGGAGATATCACTGGAAGTCTGTGGTAGGTGACAAATTCATGCTCCAAGTTCTCAGGAGTGCTAAACAGACTGGTGCTGATCAAGTGAAATTCCGTAGATGAGGAGCTTTCGTAGATGGCGGCAAATACTGAATATAGCCTCAAGACAGATATTTCCAAAACTCAGGTGGCCCGACGGGCCTCTGGAAGGTGCTAGGTCGACAAACGTCGAAGGCAATCACCCAGCAGTAGCACCTGCCCTCAGTCGCCCCGGCCCACACACCCGTGCAATCGCTATATTAATCAAAGTCGTCAGATCAGTTTCAACAACAGAAAATCCGTCGTAGTGTAGTGGTAAACACGCCAGTCTCCACATGGCGGCCCTTGGTTGTGGCGCACCTTCGGGAGTGCGTCACGGGTGCCGCAGTGCAACCCAGGTATGGGCAGCCGGCCCCCATACCACCCAAGGATCCCGACCTGGAATATGACTGGAGGCCCGAGTTCGATTCTCGGCGATGGAAAGATTCTTTTTGTCCTGCTGGCCAATTTTTTGCCCTGCTGGCCTCCTGAGGGGTAGAAGGAAGTGGTGATTGTTTTGGCGCTCGCTTGCGCCTGTTGTCTTTTTTGGAGGCAGTTTGTCCAAGCCGGTTGATGCACGTCAGGCCGAGTAGACAGCGCCAGATTGATTGTTAAGTCGCAGGGCGCTATCCTCCATTGCCGTATCCTACTTTGCCGATTATTAGCGTCTTTTCAGTCAATCCATGATCAGTCTGCGGTCCTGTTAGCACCAATTCCAGGCTGGCTAGATGTTGCACGTCAAATGGGACAGGGTCATGATTCAATGGGAAATATCACCCATGCCCTTGATTCAAATGATACCCAAAAGATGCAAACCCAAAGCCATGTGAACCAAACTCCCTCAAGCGCCGTAGCCAGTCGAGCCCAGAGAGGGTGTGACGTTTAGTCGTCGCTACGCTCCCTCTGATAGCGCTCCTCCCTGGAAGTCTCCTCCTCGACTTCTCTCTTCATGGCGTCCCTCAGCCTCTCCTCCTGTTTTCTCCAGTGACTACCCTCCTCGTAGTCTGCGCTAATGCCGAGCGCTTTGCGCAGCTTCTCGCTTTCCTCAATTTTGGCCGCGGCCAGCTCGTGCACCTGATGGGACTTGAGCTTCTGCGCTTTAGACTTGTCCATCTTCTGGTTCGAGTGCTCGGCTTCCTTCTGGAGCTTCTTGCGCAGGGCGTCGCATTGGTCGTCGATCTCGTCTTCGTCAACGCTAGACAGGCGTTAGCACGATGTTTGACCATGGGAACTTGACATGCGAACCCTTCATCCTCCAGCCGGTCTCTCAGCTCAAAGACCTTAACCTCGATGGCGCGCTTGCGGTCATGCTCGAGGATCTCGCGGTCGGGTTGCCGCTGGTGATGTTGCTTGATTTGGTCGTAGTCTTTGGAGTAGGGCGCGGTCTGGTCGCGTGGCTTGAGAAGCGAGAGATTGCGCTGGACGTAGCCGGAGGTACCGCTACCACGCGGCGTCGAAAGGCCGACGTTGGAGGACATGGTTGTGGTGTTGATGGAGTGACGTTGGCTCGGAGGTTTGAAGTTCGCCGCACCAGGCAGTTGCAGGGTATCTCGTAGCCGACATGCTCCGCTGGCTGCGGGGCAGATGCGGCAACTACTTGTTCGACTCACACCCCGCCATGACGCCGTCGCGTTTCTCGCTGAACATCGTCTTCTGCATTCCACAAGACACAGAAAATGGCAGAACTCGGAGATTCCTCGATATCAGCATCTGCTGCACCCTACACGTCTCTTCCATTTCCTCCTGTGACCAAGCAGCATATTCTGAATTGCTCATACCATTCATGGCATCCAAGGTAAAGATCTGTCTTGTCGCAAAGCAGCAACAGGAACTGACAACCATGGTCATAGGTACCGCAAAATTACACCCAAAGCCCGTCTGATCCCTCTTACCGCACCGTTTCTGTCCTACCTACGTGCAGACGGCATCGTTCTGCCTGACGACGACGCTTCTCCTCCCCGCGACTGGTCCGATGACGACAGCGGAATATTTTCTTCAACCGAGAATCCGGATGCTGCGGAGGAAAGCGAAGACGAGGATCCGTCGGCAGAATGGCGCGACGTACATGCGCAGATCAAGAACACGATTGAAGAGCTAGGAGGCAAGGTAGTGCCCAAGTTGAACTGGAGCGCGCCAAAGGACGCGACGTGGATCAACGCGAACAGCATGGAGTGTCGCACCCCAAGCGACGTGTATCTTTTGCTGAAGAGCAGCGACTTTGTCACGCACGACCTGGAACATGCCTTCGATGACACAGAGGAGGCTTCCACTGCGGACGGAGCGGACAAGGCGCAAGCAGACCCTGAGATACCATACCACCTTGTCCTGCGAAAGCACTTTTTGCTGAACCCATCGCTCGAGTTTCGGTGCTTTGTGCGGCGGCGAAACATTGTAGCCATCTCCCAGCGCGACCTAAACCATTTCGACTTCCTCTTCTCCCTCTCCGACACCTTCCGCTCCCGCATCACCTCCTTCTTCAACGAGAACCTCCGGGACACCTTTCCCGATGAAAGCTTCGTCTTCGATGTCTACATTCCGCCGCCGCACGACAAGGTCTGGCTTGTAGACATCAATCCGTGGGCGCAAAGGACCGACCCGCTGCTGTTCAGCTGGTTGGAGCTACTTACCATGGATGGACCGGATTCGGACAAGTGGGTACAGAAGCAAAAGGCGCAAGAGGCGAAGGAGGCAGCGAATGTCGTGTCAATCCCAATAGCCCCGGAATCTACAGCATCATCCGCCTCCACGCAGGCTTTGGATCACGACGACAACGCTTCCGAGGCTTCCACCGTGACGCCATCAGACTCGGAAGACGATGATGTGGACGAAGAAATCTGGACGCCGGAGATTCGTCTTGTCAAGAAGGATGATCCTGAGGCATACAGCTTCGCGACCCCGCAGTACAGCGCACACAAGCTGCCCAGGGACGTGGTCGATGCAAGTCGTGGCGGCGAGGGAGCAATGCGCGAGTTTGCGGAGAAATGGAAGGAGGTGTTGGCGAAGGCTGAGCGAGATGATCAGGAGGCTTCGAGTGACAGTGATGGCGATGATTGAGGGAGGGCAGGTGGTCACATTGGTTTTTGAAAAGGGAGGTTCATAGGACCAGAGAATAGGATAGGGCGTGTTGTAGTCTGCAAGCATCTTGTCGGCCCAGTGCGGATAGATTTTGCTTTTTATGCGGGATTCGTCTGAGGCCTTCAATATTGATATCCTCGCCTCATAATATGTTGCATGCCAGACATCTCCCCACGTGTAAGCCCTATCAACACCAATCACCATCCTCGCAACTGCTTATCCTACCACCCAATCGCCAATGTTCGAACACAGTCAATTGATTTCGACCTTGTACTCTATCTTCCCTCCTGGCCAAGTAAGAAAGCAGCTCTTCGTCTTGTACGTTGAGTTGCCCTCCCAAGTCCTTCCTCTTCCAGACAGAAATGTTGTCCGCTGGCTTGTTCAGTTGTTCCGGGAACGTAGACGTAGATGTCTGTTGAGTTTCGATAAGAATTTTATGTTGGGCTTGGAGGCCAAGGCTGTAGCTAGCACGAGGTGAATAGATCGATGAACACTGGTAAGCCTATTGAGATGGTCAGCTAATCAATTATTCAACTGGTGTAGTGTGCAGAGAATCCTCCAGAGGTGAGTTGACGTGGTTAGTTGGAGTCTATCCTTCTTCTGTGTGTCACCACGTTTATCCCACGCATCTCATCCAGTTCGCACCAGTCGCCGAGCCATTCTTTCTCGACACCGCTCTCTCTGCGTATCAGCATGTCCTTCCAGTTCGCACTATTTACCGTGTCATCTATTCGAGTCGCAATTTGCGACGCCTCCTTGGGCGCTCGACTCTAGCCCTGATACTGTCGCCTGTGCCCATCCCCTTGCCTGTGAAGAGTACTGCTGCTGCTGATGTCGAACCGGTTCGCTCATTTATACTCACAGGCCCATCTTGCGGACTGTCGATCTGTCCCAACACCACTTCCAGCAGCGGCCCAGTCCATTCGCAAACGAGTTTGCTGGAGATGAAAGTTTAGCGTCCACTTGTTCCGGAGTCGCTCGTTGACTGACAGTTTGTCATCCAAACTCTGTTCCCTCCGAAAGGGCTTGAAGCGATTCGCGGGTAGCAGGTCCAATCCCACATTCAAGACATCAACGTTTCTGTCAACCGTCGCAAGCACCATGGACAATTAGATAAAGCGAGAGAGAAGAGACATGGTTGGATTGTTTCGGTAGTGGGACAATGGGAGCTGTGCGAGCGCGGTGAGCCTGCTATGTATGTCTTGTGAGCGCGACGGTTGGATTGCTGCACATCCTTTTGCTTTTGGCTTGCTGGCTTGCGGCATCTACTTGCGCATGGACTCTGCAGAGGATACGGTGCCGATTCAATCGAGTGCACGGAATGATAGCTACAGACCAAGTTGCCTCTGTGCTTGTGTGCAGGCAACAGACCCCGGGGCGGCGCTGCGGGCTGATAGTGAGGTGAGATTTCAAGCACACACCTTCTGATGCTCTTCGACTAGTTGGAACAAATTATGCTCTTGGATTCTAAGAAAGAAACAGTCTCTTCAAGCTTGAATTGATGAGCTTCGGGTCACGTCGCGTTGTTGTGGAGAGCATTCAATTTTGGGTGTCGCATCCCATGTGGTGCTCAGCGTCGCAACACATCCTGCCATCGAGCATGCGGATTATAAAGAGATCTCTTGATGCATACCATATGATGGTCTAAAGAGCCCAAATCCGGGATGCAGCATGCAGCAGCCTATTGTTGAGATTTGCATCTACACGCAGTCAGTGATGCCTTCGCCCGGGGGCCTCTAGCAGGGCAGGGGACCTAGACTACCCCGACGGGCCTCCTATTATCCGTAGGGTACCTGCTCTGTATGTCGCAGTCGGGCACCTCGCTTAGCGCGCCGGTGGTTTAAATGCTTCGCGATCCGTCCATCCACTTACAACCTCTGGCAAACAGCAGAGCCATCGTGAGTGCACCAACATTTGAAGCTTCAATTGATCTCCGGGATTCTTGCTGATCTCAGTTCTCTAAAAGATGACACCAAAATCTTCTCCTCCTGCTCTCGGTGCCGGCGCCGCCGCCGTGCAATCGTGAGTCTCTCCCAGCTCTTCACATCTCGACCACAACAATGCTGACCCACTCGCTCAGATCTCCGCCGGCGGGCGGCGCCGCCACCACCACCACGCCTCCCGCTGCTGCTGCTGCCGCCGCCGCCGCCGCCGCCGCCGCCGCCGCGCCCAACTCGTGAGTCCTCTGTTCCATCTCACCAAGACAAGCTTTGCTGACGACAAGACAGTTCTCCGCCGGCTTCGGCCGTTGCCGCTGCTCCCCCAGGGGCTCCGGCGCCCTCCTCGTAAGTTCTCCTCTCTCTTGAAGCTTTGCTCGATACTCACACGCAACCAGTCCTCCGCCGCTCCCTGCCGCCAGCGCGCTGGC